TTGTGGTTGTGGTGGTGGTTGTGGTTGTGGTTGTGGTTGTGGTTGTGGTTGTGGTTGTGGTTGTGGTTGTGGTTGGTTGTGGTTGTTTGTTGTTGTTGTTGTGGTCGTGGCCGTGATCGTGGTCGTTGCCGTCGTCGTCGTTGTCGTCGTCGTCATCGTCGTGGTGGTTGCTGTTGTCGTTGTTGTTGTGGTCGTGGCCGTGATCGTGGTAATTGCCGTCGTCGTCGTTGTCGTTGTCGTCGTCGTGGTGGTTGCTGTTGTTGTTGTTGTTGCTGCTGTTGTTGTGGTTGTGGTTGCTGTTGTTGCTGCTGCCGTTGTTGTGGTGGTTGTGGTGCTATTTTGCTGGTGCTGCTGGTGGTGCTGGCGTTACCGCTTGCCCTCGCCACCGACGTCGATGTTGCTAGTGAGTCTTACTTGTCGACTAGCAGTACACGAACGAGCACGAAACGACAGTTGTGGGATAGTCGCAGAGCGCAGCTCAGGGCACACAGTCCATTGCGAGCCTCTTCAGAGATCCCGCTGTGGAGAAGCTGATGCAGACTCCTTGCAAAGATGGGATTGGTACCATAGATCACAAGCTCGCCTGCAGTCGTTCGCTGCATAGGACAACCGAGACTTGAGCATGATACCATGAGAGATCATCCATGCGAGCGCTGAGGAAAGGCAACACCGGGTATGTGCAGCCCGAGACGGAGTCTGAACGGCTTAGACGATATGCCCACATGACCAGGCTTCAGCGCCTGCAGGCGTGGCTGCAGTCCCATAAGCGACTTGCTGCGTTCAGTTCCGGGTGCGTCGGTCTAGGGCCATGAAGTGGCAGTTGTTGCGATGCTCCTGGTCTGAGGTATGAGATGGTGATTGCTGCCGTTCTGTGCGTGAATGTCTTGTGGATGGCCTTCGAACTGCAGCTTAGCGGTGCCGACACCGGCTACCACATAGGCGCTGCTTGGATGACTAAGCCAATATGCTACAAGGTCCTGGAGGCAGAGTTCGGCTGGATCTAAACTCCAAAAACGCACATGTTACCTAAGCCCTAAACCCATAAACCCCTAAACCCTAAACCCTAAACCCTAAAAGCCTAAACCCTAAAATAATAGCCCTCTCCCTCCCCCGCTCCCTCGACAAAATCCTAGCGCGCCTTGCGCCTGGACCTGCTGGACCTAAGGTTGTCAGCTCCCCCCCAGTTCCTGTGGAGACTTGGACAACTTGGACGGATGTTTTGGAGGTCGGCGACTTGATTTTCACCGTGTTCTTCGTGCTGGACGTCGCAGTCCGAATCCTCGTCTTGCAGAAGATCTTCTGGCAGGTCTCGATACGCCAAAGTGGCCACTTTGTGCTGGTCAGTCATACGTAGCCCGCAGCACTAAGTTAAGTTGCAGGTTTGGATGAACTACGTCGACGTGGCCGTCAGCGTCGCATCCCTCATTGAGGTGCTGTAGTTTCTCTCAAATTCTAGCTGTCTTTGGTACCCCAACGTCATCGCAGCAACTGCTCCTTCGGAGGGGCTGTTGTTATCGTGTTTCGGGGGCATCTGCAGAATCCTCGCCCTCGGGAAACCCAGGGCTTTCGTAATGAAGGGTAGCAAGATGCCGCTGCTGAGACACTCTGAGGTCACTGTCTACCATGCAACGACTCTGCCTGTGAACCCGATCCTTTTCCGACTGGTGCGGATTGGAAAGCTGGCCAGAGCTATTCGGATGGTTACCATGACCAGTATGTTGCAATCCCTGCAGCTGCTGGTTAAGCGCCTTATCTGTCACAACGAAGTGCTAGACCACTTCGAAATTCTAGACCAAATAGCACTCAGCTACCAAGCTCCAGCCCGGCTGCCATCAAGCATTTGCCGAAGCAAGGTTTGGCTTGCAGTGGATAGAAGTTGCCACATTCCTGTGAGGTGCTTGGGCTCCAGCATGAACATGCTCTTCTGGAGCTTTTGCTTGCTGACCTTCGTGCAATGTGTTGCTGGACTTATTCTGAGTACACTCTGTCGCGACTTCCTCCTGGACGAAACGGCCGACCTAGATATCCGAGAGGAGGCTACTGTGGCTGCTGGCTGAGGGTGTAGGTCCCAGGCCTTAGTCTGCAGGGTCTATCTGGGAGTTGTTCAGAGATTGGGAACCCCTGTTTAAACTACCTATGTTAATCGCAGAAGCAGTTGCTTGCCAGAGAGTGTATACATATATGTACGTACCTACGTACGTGTATGTATGTATGTATGTATGTATGTATGTATGTATGTATGTGTATATATATATATCCATAATTTAGAGAGAGCGAGAGAGAGAGAGAGAGAGAGAGAGAGAGAGAGAGAGCGAGCGAGAGAGA